CGTTGTGAAAGCCAAAAGTATAACTGGGTTCAAAAAAGAATTAGATAAGTCCCTGGAGGATAGGTCCATCAATGGCTATTAGCAAAGGTGGTCAGAGATGCAATCCCATGCTTTGTGTGTTCCTAAGCCTCTGACTGCCAAATGCTGGGCCTGGATGACAGGATGGATCACATTATAATTGCCCTGTTCTGTTCATTCTCTTTGAAGCATCTGCCATTGGCCACTGTTGGAAGGCCACTGTTGGGCTAGGTGAACCATTGGTCTGATGCAGTCTGGCCATTCTTATGTATGTTCTTATGTTATGCAAGTCAATTAGGCTTTGTCTATATACAAAAGTTGTATTAGTTTCTGTCCATCTTAGGTACTTATATGTCCCCTACCACCAGAGTATTTGAGTGCCTCAGTCTTTAAAGTATTTATCCTTACAACCTCTGTGAGGTGGGGAAGTGCTACTATTATTAGCCAAGATGGTCAGGGATGCAACCCCATGCTTTGTGTGTTCCTAAGCTTCTTACTGCCAAATGCTGGGCCTGCATGACTGGATGGATCACATGATAATTGTGCCCTGTTCTGTTCATTCTCTTTGAAGGCTAATTTTACCGGTGAGGAACTGAAGCACAGAGAGGCTAAGTGACCTGCCTCACAAAAGAAATGAGTGGTCCAGCAGGGACTTGACCCCATGTCTCCCAAGTCCTAGGCTAGTACCCTAACCACTGAACAGTCTTGAAACTGATATAGGCTATGTCTATGTTACAGTGTGTGCTGGCACAGCTTCTAGTTTAGCTGCAGCATATACCAACAGAAGGAGTTTTTCTGCTTGTGTAGGAACACCAGCACCCTGGTGAGCTGTGTTGATAGAAGCAGTATCCTGTCAGTATAATCAGCATAGCTGCATCTACACTGGGGATTTTGTCTGAATAGCTATGTCAGTCAGGGGTGTGTTCTTTATTTTTTTTCACATCCCTGACCAACATAGATATGCTGGTGTAAGTTTTAAGTGTAGACCAAGCTATAGTTAAACCAGTTCATCCTGTTTAGCATGGACACAGCTATACCTATATAAAATTGCTTATACCTCTATTTCTGTAAGGGAAGGGGAATGAGCTAAATGGGAATAAGGAATGTTTATACTGATATAACTGAACACCAAAGGTTATACTGGTTTAACTATGTTGGGGGGAGGGGGGATCACACTCCTAATTTGACATAGTCATACCAATTCTGAATCTGTGTGTAGACCTGGCATTAGGCCTATAATTTTCAGAATGATGTGGCTGAAATTAGCACCTAATTTAATAGAGGCTCTTGGTTGCCTAAATATAGGTTTAGGCATCCAAAGAAACATAAACTAAACTCCAAAAAGGCACTCTTATACCAGAGTAAAACTGTCTATGTGGGGAGTTATACTGGTATAACTACTGCAGTATAATTTTACTAGTATAATTATGCTGGTAAATTTCCCTATGTAGACAAGCCCTTAGCCCTTCGAAGCGCTCTTCTGTTGGCATAGCTGTGTCTATACTGGGGATTTTTTTGGCATAGCTGTGTTAGCTAAGGGGTGTAGTTCTTGTCACAACCTGACCAACATAACTGTGCGAGAAAAACTTAGTAGCATAGACCTGGCCTTAGTCACTTTCATTGTGACTGTGTAGCTGGAAACAAGAAGGAAAGGCAGCTCAGTGCATCTAATGTAATCTCTGTCAACCAACAGCAGTTAGTCCCTATATCAGTGTAGCTATGCAGGCCACATTGAAGGTCCCATTGATCTGTCTGAGTAGGAGTCCTGATTTGGAGTTGTGGTGGGCACAGAAATATGGCTTATTTATGTGGTTAAGGAGAGGTAAGGTATTGGGATATTCCCAATTCCTACTGCCATCCACCTTGCAGAACCAAAAGTAAAGTCAAATAACTTGGGGAGTTTTCCTTAATGTTGGACACTAGACCTCACTGGCAGCATCCCAGTGATTCAAAGTCCCTGGATCCTTTCCCCCACGTTTGCTTCCCATTTGTGTGCAAAAAATTTGTAAGAATTATGATATTTTAATGACAAGTAATTTGGGGAGGAGCTGTATCTCTACAACCCTTTGATAAAATGGACTCAAATTTGCACCACAAACTCTACCCAGCCACCTGAAATGGTAATTTTCAAACCAATCTGGCTATGTACATGGATAGCTTTAAACTTTTGCAACCACATTGCAACCTTAACTCTGGTGCCTCTATCCCTGCCCTATGATAAAAGGCAGTTTAAAGTGTAAATCTGTCTGTTTGTTTCCTTTAAAATCATCTGGGTGTCTTGAGCTGAATATCAATAGGATCCACTGATAACATGAAAGGCAGGGGGATAACCTAATGAGTGCGGTTTATATGTTTGAGTTTCTGTGAAACACAGGGTGCTAATGCATTTTGTTTATTGAGAACTTATATGCCAATATTATTTCATCATTAGCAACTAGGCTTTGAAGATAAAAACTTGCTGAATTCAATGAGTAGTATGGGGTGGGGATGCAGTTTGGACCTTTGCTATTGTTTCCCTGGAGATCCCATCATATAATAGTCGCTATATTTTGCAAATCTATGTACTTAAACTTATTAGGATTTACACAGCGTATCCACCATTTGTGATACTGAGACTGAAGGACATACTGAGAGTTTATCTACAATGGGTTTTTGCTCCATGTTAACTATACGGATGTAACTGCATTAGCACAAAACTCTAGTGGGGATGCATTACACCAATGTAAAAAATGACTTATCCTGGTGAAGCTTCCCTGTTTTCTAATTTACACCAGGGACCTCTCTAATCCCCAGGCAGCCCAGAATCTGGTTAATGCAAAGGTATCTTAAAGCCACTCTTCTCCTTTGTCTTCCATGAGGCACAGCATAGTATCTCTCCCCCATTTTCTTCATTGGGAGTTTCACATGTGCAAAGAGTGCAGGGTCAGCAACAGTAGCATCGTAATGCAGCCCCACCTACGCTGGCCATATGTTTTAGAACTGTGTTTACATAGTTCCTGCTAAAATGGTTTTGACATGGATTTGGCCAGCAAGCGTAGAAAACGCCCAACCATTCCAGAATGCTGTTTTAAAAAATGGGTTTGTCAGTTTCTCTCTGATTGCACTGACCAGACTGATCAAGTTTAATCGCCTCCCTGGTGGTCAGGATTTGGCACTCTCACTGCTGTGGCCCAGGGTTTGATTCCCACTCAGGGAAGGAATTCCTTTGGGGGGAGGGATAGCTCAGTGGTTTGAGCATTGGCCTGCTAAACTCAGGGAGTGAGTTCAATCCTTGAGGGGGCCATTTAGGGATCTGGGGCAAAAATTGGGAATTGGTCCTGCTTTGAGCAGGGGGTTGGACTAGATGACCTCCTGAGGTCCCTTCCAACCCTGATATTCTAAGTTATAAACCAGTTTAACCAGAACTGTATTTAAACAAGCTCTTAAACAGGGCTGAGCCTAAGATAGAGAAGGTCTGTATACTAGTTAATTGGATAAAGACTGAGAACTGTTAAGAATGGCCACTACACACAAAGCAAAGATTGGAAGGTGCTAAAATAACCAGTCATGTTTTTCTTAAAACTAGGAATGTCTGACTGACAGAAAGTACAAAGGAATGACTTCTGTAAACAATGGCAAATAGCCAGTGTTTCTTTGGCTCAATCACAGTGTGAGTGAATTGTTGTTAAAACACAATACAGTGCAAATAATTCCAAACATGTGGCAGTTGTCATTCTTGGGCATTAATTATTCAAACTTCAGGTGTGCTGTGTAACAGTCATTTAGGGTGCTTTGAATGAATTAACTCAGACATTTTAAACAGCTGCTTGTCTTTAAACTAGAATGGGAACTAGTGCCTCTGGGTATTGTGTGGGTGGCCCTATGAAGAGAGGGAGGACTCAGCCATACCCACATAAGCAGATGGGCGGTTCCCACTCCCCACCCCACGAAAGCACTGCTGCAAAGGTGGCAGCAAAGCCCCTTACGCACACCCCCACAGTCCGTTGCAGAGTGGCAGGGAAGTGGCAGCAGCTCACCTGGTATGAAGCTGCCCTTGCTCCCAAGGAATGGAGTGTTTGACCCTTTCCTTGTGCCCAGACACTCATGCTCCACGACACAGAGAGGGGCAACCCCCATTCCCGCTTTTAATTCAGGATGTGAAACCACTGACGACCAGCGCTCAAGTCGAAACAGAGGAGGGCCGGGTCTCCTGTTCTCTCAAGAGAGGAAAATGAACCTGAGCTCTAGCAATAATTCATTCTGCAGAGAGAGAGAGAAGGGGTCTTCCCTGGCCCGGGGCCCAGCTCCTTCCCACAGGTGTTGTGAGGCCTCCCTTTTCATGCCCCAGGATTTTTTTCCCCACCGGTCAGGTCAAAGCAGGCAGGGTCAGGCCCTGCGCCCAGGAGAGGGGGCCTAGGGGCTTCCCCAGTTTCCTGCAGGAGTGAGAGCTAGGAAGAGAGGTGGGAGTTTCCTCTGCCCCCACAGCCAGGCCCCCTCCACCTCTCCCAAGGAGCAAAATAACCCGTTGTTTTCTGAGGGACCCCGGCCTGTCTCGGGGTTGTTGTAGGCTGTCCAAAGGGCCGCGTGCCCAGCACGTCTCTTTTACGGGGCTGACCCCTGGGGCCGAGGCACAGCGGCAAACCACAGCAGCCCCCTCCCCGGTGCGGGGTGCCTAGGGCAGCAGCTTGCCCCGGAGCTAACCCGAGGCGCAGGGAAGAGGCGTTACACGGCTGGGCGGGGACGGGCCTGCCCCTCCGGCCGCACTGGGTCCCTCGGCCCGCCCGCCTGCCCTTTTGCAAAGTGTAAGTATCCGCCAAACCTCCTTCATAGGCGGGGCAGAAAGACAATCAGCGGCCAAGCACCTTCCTCCCTCTGGAGGCCCAATGGCGGAGGGACTCAAACCTCTGAGCCAATGAGGCAGCGCGGCCTGACGGGCACTAGGCGGCAGCCAATCCGAACAGAAGGGCGAGCGGGGGCGCGTGTGCCTGTGTGGGCCCCCTCCCCTTTCCAGAAGCCAATGGAGGGGGTTAGCGCGAGCCAATGGGTCCGGGCGGGCTGTGAGCGGACCTGAGCGCGAGGCTGCGGGGAAGGGATGGCCCGTGGCGGCGCGAGGCGGCACCGCGGGACTGGTGCACCACGCGCTGGCTGCCGGGGGGCGATGAGAACTCGCGATCTCCTCCCCCGCCCCGCTGGCAGCTGCCGCCTCCCCGTCTCCCAGGGCTGCTGAGGCTCGGGCAGGGCGCCTGCCTGGCCGAGGGGCTCGCGCTGCCCTTGCGTTCCGCCGGGGCTCGGCCGCGGCTGCCTGGCCCAGGAGCCTGCCCGGGAGGCTGGGCACAGCCCTCGCCGCGCGAAGGGGGCTGGCGCTGCACGGGCGTTAGCCGCCGCTGCTCCCTCCCCTGCCGGCTGCTGGCTGCATGCTCACCCCGCTTCAGTGAGAGCCGCGGCGGGGCGGCTTCTCTCCGCTCCCTCCTTCCCCGCTGACTGGAGGTGGGAGGGAGAGAAGAGACCCAGAGAGGAAGGAGCCGGGCGTGCGGAGCGGAGCCATGCGAGAATACAAAGTAGTGGTGCTGGGCTCGGGCGGGGTGGGCAAATCCGCCCTCACCGTGCAGTTCGTGACCGGCTCCTTCATCGAGAAGTATGACCCCACCATCGAGGATTTCTACCGCAAGGAGATCGAGGTGGATTCCTCCCCCTCGGTGCTGGAGATCCTGGACACCGCCGGCACCGAGCAGTTCGCCTCCATGCGGGACCTCTACATCAAGAACGGGCAAGGGTTCATCCTGGTCTACAGCCTGGTCAACCAGCAGAGCTTCCAGGACATCAAGCCCATGCGGGACCAGATCATCCGGGTGAAGAGGTACGAGAAGGTGCCCATGATCCTGGTGGGCAACAAGGTGGACCTGGAGGGCGAGAGGGAGGTCTCGTATGGGGAAGGCAAAGCTCTGGCCGAGGAGTGGAGCTGCCCCTTCATGGAAACTTCAGCCAAAAACAAAGCTTCAGTGGATGAACTGTTTGCAGAGATTGTCAGGCAGATGAACTACGCTTCCCAGCCCAACGGGGACGATCAGTGCTGCTCGTCCTGCGTGATCCTCTGAAAGGGCCTTGGGGGCAATGTTGTCGTTCGCAAAGGTTTACAACAAAAAGAAGCAGCAATGTGATCGTTCGAAACAAAGATTGGAAACAACTTTGCATACACAAGGATTCCAGGCTGCAGCAGCACCAGCTGCTGCAGTGATCAGTGTCACGGGGTGGGTGTATTGTTGAAAACGTGGCTTTTTCAGCATGTACATTTCATCGATTTTGATTGTTGCATATTTCCCGTAAGTACCATTTACAGATTGCTGTATTGGCAACTGACACCAGTAAGAAAAGTTTCGGCCTGGAGAAAGGGGAGCTTGTGAGCAATCGTTTTCTAACTGGAAGAGTTAGATTACACCTAAGGAACTAAGGGGAGCAGTAAACGAAGAAACCATTGCAGAGAGGGAGAGAGAAATCTTTCCGTGGACGTGTGGGGGTGAAACTAAGATTGGTGCTCTCTTTTCTTTAGCCAACCTTGAATGCACCCTGTGACTATGATATTGATTCTGAGGATTTCTATGCAAAGTTGGATTATTGTTACAGTGTATCCAATCTGAAGTATTGCACATCTGAACTGGGACTTTTAATAACACTGATGCCAATACAGTGTGGGGTGCCAGAACGTGTCTGCTGATCATTTGTGAAACTATTTTGTTTACCTGCTGTATCGGATGGGAGTTTGGGGGAGAGCGGTAGTATTTTTTTTTTTTTAAAAATCAGCTGTGAAAATGTTACAAATCTGCACAATATTTTTTTAGTTGTGTTTTCTTCTTTTCTTCAGGGGGGAGGGAGGTTTGTGGTGGTGGTTTGTTTTCCTTATTTTTGGGTTGGCAATAACTGATTTTGATTAGCTCTCTAAAGTACAAAGACTTCCTAAAATGTGATACAGGGCCAACAGCAACCCTGTGTCTGTAGAGTGCCTTCAAAACTCAGCTGTTCCAGCCGGTGCCAACCTGTGAAAGCTCCACAGAATCCCATTATCTACTACTCCAGAAACTACTTAACAGCTTCCTTTCAGTAATCACACTGAACAAGCCAGGACAAAAAGGCCTATTGTTTAGTGGAATTTATTTCTTATTTCCATTTCAGCCTTTTAAATGTCATTTCCATGTCTTGCAAATTTGGACTGTATTTAATTCAAATTTACAGGCATTTAGTTTTTTGGGAGGATTTCTTTTGTTTTGGTTCTCTGATGTAGGATGTACCTCCAGCCAGCAAAGAGCGAAATCTTAATGTTGTGATGTACCAAGAAAATTCTAACAACTGTATCTTTAATTCCAGACATGCGTTTAATGTCTCTCCGTTTTAAGAATTTTAATACAAATGTTTTGTTTTTTTAAAAAACGAACAGCAAAACTGTGGTTTTTTTAATGTAAGGAGAACTGACTTTAATATGCAATCATGGCAGACGTATGCTTTTTAATCGTGATATTTGTCTAACCAAAATAACAGTATGTTAAGAATGGAGGAAGGTAACCTAAAATCATGAGGCTAGGGAATGTTTCTATTGTATCTGCTGGTAATGTTGGAAACAGTTGAATAATTATATTTAGGTCCTGATGCTACAAGATGCTGTACATGGGCGAATCCTACACTTATATAAATGCTTGTTGAAGTCATTTGGGCTCTATGCAGAACAGCTTGCAGGATTAGGATCTTATTTTGTAATTTTAAAAATAACATGGTTTATTGGAGTCTAGGTGTTGAAGGTCAGCTGTTCGTAAACTTCTATACTTTACTGAAAAAGATACAGCTTTTAAAATTATGCATTAAGACTGTGATTCCTTACCATTTCAAATGTAACTTGCAAAGGAGGGGAAAATGGGATTTTTTTAAAAATACAAAGAAGGCCTGAAAGGCATTTATTCTCCCAAAATTCCCAGATGTGTGTGGGTTTTTTTGTTTTTTTTTTTAAGCTCATGATTTGTCTGTCCAGGAGGACTTATGGGAACTAATGAAATTATGACATCACAGGAAACCAAAAGCTGACCAACTGAGGAAGTAGGGACTTTTAGTCAAACTGATTAACATTTAGGGTGCCTAATTCTTCTCACTCCTAATTTAAACCTTGATCATGAATTCACTGTGTCCAATAGCAAAGATCCCACTGACATCAGTTGTGCAGGATCAGGGCCTTACACAGATGTGACTTCATTGATTTCAATCAATGAAGTGACTGTTGTACTTCAGAGAAAAACAAAATGCCCAGTTTCAGCTGATTTATAGCATCTATTTAATTCCTAATACCTAGCAAAAAGCTTGGGAGAAATGATGCCTTAAAGATTAAACATCCACCTCTATCTGAGCTCACAATATTTCACTTCTCTTAAATCCCCAAGAAGCTTTCCTGCCAAACTAATATTTCTACAGTTAAAATAAGTTTAGAAAAAAAACCCAGATGAAGAGAGCTGCAAACTTTTCCCCAACCCACCCTGGATTGATTTCTTTCTAGTCTTCTTTATATAATACATCAAAAGGTACAAACTCATTTTTTTAAAAAAAACAAACCTCACTTTTGCAGTTCACCTTTAAGAACTTAAAAAAAAAAAAAGTTGAATAAAAAAATTTGTTTAAGGACTTTAAAATCAGACGCCATGCTGAATAGCTGTTTTTTATTATTAATATAAGCCACATCTTAACAGGAATTTTCTTTTTCAGTACTAAGGTAGGCTTATTGTAGACATTGTGCATTAAAGTTTAAAAGCATATGTTATACCTGTATCTTGGCCATTGCCAGTGGTCCAATCCTGTCTAAATACTACATGCTTTCCCCCAAGTGCTGAGAGCCCCTATCCCCCAAAACTCATTGACCTCAATGGTATTTGGAAGGTTTTTTAGTACCTAACAGAAGCTGTCCTTGGGTGATTACTGGATGATCTCTGGATAACTTGTTCAGTAGAGTTATCTTCATAATTGCTGCTTTCAACATAATGAAACCTGGCAAACCTAGTTTTCCCAGCAGAATAGCAGTTATTGACATCTAAAATTGAAGCTAAAAAATTTCAAAATACCTCATGATTTCAAATTGTTTCATTTTTGATTTTGTGTGGTGTTTTTTAAAGAAAACCTGACTAAGTAATGATGCAAGTGTGTATGTATAGCATACACCAGCTCAACATAAACTCCAGTTTTAGCTTTGGCCTAGCAGAACAAGTGAAGGTCTTTTAATATATGTTGCTTCTTGCCAAAGGGGTGTATGTGTTTAAGTAGTAACACGTGGCATGGGTCTAATACCATGAGTGCAAGCATATAAATGTTCAAAAATTATATTTTCTCCTGACTGGTGAGGATGCTACAGAAAGGAGCACTGGCTAGCTAGACCTTTCAGAGACTCCAAACTGTTGTGTCGTTCACTAAACATAAGCCTGGTCTATACACAAAAACTACTTTACGAGTACACTGCCTCTTACTGTTCCCGCCCCCCAGTGTGGATGCAGTTATCTGTTGTAAAGGTGCTTTATACTGTTACGTCTTATTTCCCTTCCCTGTGGGAACAAGCTATACCAGTAAAATGTACCTTTTATATTGTTATATAACTGAATCCACAGTAGGGGTTGTGAAAATTTAATTAATTGGGTAGAAAACCCAGACCCCATATATTCTATTGTCCACAATGATTACATTTTTAAAGACCATGACAAATACTGAGCATGTACCATTACAGGAAAGTATGTTATCTTTCAAATATCAGTCTCTATGATCACTGCAATTATGCAATGTTCTAGAGCTAAATGCAGCACTTGTGTTGAAGGTTTACAGTAGGATAGTCAGACCTTATAGCTGACCATAATTCTACAGCCATAATATTGCCTACAGAATTTTTGAGGACTCTGCTCTCAAAAGAATGAGTGTGACTGGTTTGTGCAAAGGGCATTTTAAGGTAGTGGCTGATTGTCTCTTTATGGCCTCTTGGTTCGGTGTCATTTTGACAGACATTGCAGAACATCTGATTTTAGCTTTGAGTGGCAAAAAAATAAATAAATAAATAAAGCTTTTTTTCTGTAAGAAATCTGTGTGAAAGTGAATGCCACTTGTTCTCTTAGGTCCTGCTCTTGAAATTCATAGCAAAACTCTCAGGATTTTTAAATAGGAAAAGGACTTTCGTCCCAAAGTACTTATGAATATAATGTCATTTTTTGACTGCTGTTTGAAGCTCCTCTACTCTGCAGATTCAAATAGCAGGAAATAAAAAAAATTAATACACCCTCACTACATCCGCTGAAGCTACTATTTTGGGTGCTTTGTGCATGTGCTCACAAGATCTGGGACTTCTGGTGCAATCAGTTATCATGTGGGCTGTGTACAGTGTTCAAATACTATTTAAAGGTACCTAAACTGTTCTCAGTAGCGTATAAAGCCTACATCCAAAGGTGTAATTTATACTAAATGCCATCGCAAAAATGTCTTTCCCCAGTTATTACTGTAATGCAGTGACCCTACAGCAAGTTTTGTGTAGAAATTCAGTGCTTGTCAATCTCTCTTATAGGAAAGGATTTATTTTCTTTATTCACAGCCACAAAGGTAACTACCCAAACCCCTGAGTCCTGGGAATAGCTCCCTCCCCAAGAGAGAATCGCATACCTTACCCACTGCAGAAGATTCAAAATCAGGCTTTATTTCAAATAAAAAAAACACTAAAGTGAGGAGTAACCAAAACTTTAGAAATTGGAGAAGGGGATTTAGGGGTGGGGGGTAGCTAGAGAGTAACTCTCCAATATTAGTATTTGATCATCCTTTAAGTGCCACAAGGTTCATACTTTGTTTCCTATTTTATAAAATAAATAGAATGGGTAGAACAGGATACTTGGACTGACTTTCTAACTTTGGACCTGATTGTGTTCCCAAGAAAGCAATGGGGAGAAAATTCCTATTAAAAATCAATGGAAGTGGCATTGAACACTTTCCCTTGTTCCCATTTTCAGCTTTACTGGTTCCTTTGTGCAGCCAGTCACTTTCAGGTTGTTAAACACCCAACGAAATCTGACCCTTCTGAGCAGACAGGTTACAGTGTAAATGTTTACGTGATGTAGAATTTGTGGACAGTTGTTTGTTAGACTTCCACTAGTAGTCTCCTCAGAGGAAGTTAAAATATATACTCCAATGCACATCAGATCCTACTTTAAGGCAACTGATGTAGTGATTAGGTAGATGACACGCTACAAATATGCTTAGCAAGATTCTGTAATAGAAGTACATTTTAGCTATAGTGCCTAATTTAAAGAGATTCCTATTTTAATAAGAAAATGTGTGCCTTTGCTCAGAAGATCCAAAACTGATTTACTAATATTAAGTCTCAACATGGGAAACAACCATTCGATGGTGTTACCATTTTTTTTCTAGTGGTGATTTGGGCAAAGAATGAAAAAACGGATAAGAATCAGTAGCCTTATTTTACGAATTCCTGACAAGAAAATATTTTAAGGCAATTGGTTTCTAAAAATGTAGCCTTGGGGTTTTTTAAAATAACTTTGTCTTTCAAATTGTATGCACAAGAAATCTTTTGTAGAAAGTGTGGTGTTAATAGATAGATGTCCAGGCAGCAGACAGCGTCCAGGTGTGCATTTACCTCAGCGACTGCCACTTCTGCAACAGATTTTGCAAGATCTAGATTAGTCATACTGATCACAATCATGTTGTTTCACCTTTTTCTGCCTTCTGGAGATAGTGTATAGTGTACGTTCTGTTCTAGTATGATACTGGATTGAAACAAAAGGGTCATCTTGTGAGTATACATGTTTGGAATTAGATTGCTGGATGGGAGACTGATTCTATATGAGATTAAATGGTTCTTATCAAGTAACTATTGCACAATCATGCAAACGTTTACTTGTATAATGTTCCCTATCGCATCCTTCTCAGTCATGAAGTGGGTCTGTATCTCATGATTTATTTCTTTAGGTTTCTAACTATTTCAGCCAAGATAAAAGTGAGTGGAACTTTAAAAGGTTGAGTATATCTTCATTAATCTACAAGTCCTAACAGCTCCCTGACACATCAGTGGCACAGCTACAAGCTGAGCTTTAGGCATTGCACTACAACTAGATACTTTGTGTTCAATAGGACTCTGTCAGTAAATGAATAAAATCTTACACAAAACATCTCAAGAGTGGCCACTGACGTGGGTGTACCTCAGTTTTTGGTACCTCCAAATCAGGCTCTGGGTGTCCCAAGTTAGGCCAAAATTGTTGGTCAGTCTTGGAAATGTGGCGGCTGCTGCCGGCATTTGATTTTGGTGTGGTGACACTTGACACAAGAATTTACAGATGTTTGTTACTTAATTACCTTGAAGTATGGTCTAGTGGGCTTACGGGGAGATAATCAACAAGACTTAGTGCTTCATGACCATTTAATAAGTAATCCTGAGGTAGGTAAAGGTTATTTTCCAGTTGAAACTGGGTAAGCCCGTTAACATCTTGTTACCTTCAGAGGACTTAGAAAGTCTAGCAGAGATGGAAATGAGGGTGGGGCACAGGGACGTGGCTGAGAGAGCAAGGGTATGGTTCAGTAGCTGGGAGCAAGGTATTCCTGACTTGCACAACTAAAAGGGTAACTGGGCCCTAGGGTGTGTTTCTCCCAGTCGTGTGCCTAACTCTGCTCAGCTGACTTGACAAGTCATTTGGTTTTCCTCTGTACCTCAGTTTCTTCCTCTGAATAGAAAATAAATTCTGATTTCAGAGAATCTATATTGATTTCCTGTAGCTGAGGATTTGGCCTAGTAATTGGTAGTACCAAAATGAAATAGGAGATGGTCAAATAAAGCAAGGAACATGAGAATGGTCAAATAAAGCATGGATAACAGAGAAGGTGCCTGGAAAAGATGATCCACTACTTCAAAGTGGATGCAATTGGTGTGTGTCCCCCCTACCCTTACCCCTAGCTCCCCAAAGTAGTTGGTCTCAAATTTACTCAAAATCTTGTTTTTTAATGAAAAGCATCCAGTAACTAAGTGATAAACTTTTTGTAACCATCTCTAACAGCTTAAATCAGTAAAGATATTTAAAAAGTGACTTTGGGTTAGAGAGAGGACACTCTGCTGGTTATATACTGCCCTTGGTTGTTAGGCATTGTAAATGAATTCCGTGCATATTACTGAGGAGAGACTTGATCTGTATGTGAGGTTGTAATGCCTGTATTGCTAAGGGATTATAAAATCTCCATGGAATAGGAACTCACATAGACATGATAGCCATAAAGTAAAGTTATTTGCAAGGTAGGCTGAAAGGCCTTCAGTAAATAATGATTCATCTGAGTTACTTTAGTAGTAGCCTGGAGAAAGAATCAAGAGCTAAAAAACCCTCCTGCCTTTAAAACTAAGGGAGTATAAATAGTATGGATGGTAAATGGTTTTTGTTCATAAGCTCAAATACTTAAAATGAGCCGAGTAATATATAGCCCTTTGGGGATGAAAGGGACCAATTCCTCCTCTTCACTGCCGGGTGTATTCTGGAGGTGCTATTGTATTTCCTCGTCAAGAGTGAAACAAAAACTGCATGATTGCTGTTACCCTTACCACCACCACCGCCACCACTGTTTCATAAAGTGGCTAACCACATGACTTAAGCGCTCACTGTAAGCTCTGGTGTTCTCTTTTTAATGTAAAGGGTAAAAAAGCCCGAACGACATAGTGATATGTAACTATTTTGTTGCATACCAAAACCCAGCAGTTGAAAGGCTGGGTCATTAATGAACTCTCAGGACAATGCATCATTTTCAGCTATATGTTTAAGTTTAGATCTACTGGAAAGTGAGCACACGTACAGCCTGTTTGACTCTCACCTTTTTTTTAACACTATGCACCAGTGCTAGGTGTCAAAGGGAAACTAAACAAAGTATTTGTTGCAATGTACAGTGACTGGAGAACCTGGAGAAAGTTCCTATAACTAAGATATAAAAGTAATTGTCCAATCCACTTCATTGTACGCTGGTTGCTGTTGTGAGGTGTATATGCACAATCAAGCTACTCTTCTAGACAGACAAAAAAAAGCAGCAGTCATCTGCAGATCTGTTGGGGTATGTCTACAATACATATAAGCCTAGGCTCTGACTCAGGTTTGAATCCAAGCCCCAGGTCTGTCCACACACAAATCAGTCTGACTCAGGTCAGTAAACACTCAGGACTTGGCTCCCAGGAGCCTGCTGTGACTGGGTCCATGTCATGACATTTTGCAGTAAGGACATGGGTCATGCTGCAGACCCGAGCCAGATCTTCATGATGCAGTATGGACCTGTTATCAAGACTGAGACCAAGGTCCGGCAATTGTAAGATCAGTTTTACAGTGTAGTGTGGACACTCAAGCATAGGCTTGGAAACACCTAGTTCACAAGCCTTGGTCCCACAGACCGAGGTTTATGATGTCATGTGGACAGACCCTTGAAGATGTAGGCACAATTTATATAATGTGAGCATGTGTGTTTAAAATATATAATTTAAGGAACGGGACGTCTTTCACACCTGAAATGCATTTGGGAAAAGTATCAAGCGCTGAACAATCATCTGTTAGCCAATCTATCTATCTGGTCAGCTGATACGGAATCATAGTCAAGGGAACAAGACATAGCTGCCAAAGCTGAGAAAAGCAGCAGGGTTATATTGTATCTTTTAACATCTCTTCAGGCATTTTGAAACTGAGCAGGTTTAGTACATCTAGTCTGTGATCTAATAATTCAAGAATCTGATTAATTTTACTATTAATCTCGGAAAAGTTCAAATTAAAATAAATAGTGCAATATTGCTTTTGATTTAAGTAGCCTGTGATGCATTTTATAAAGCACCATGATACATCCAAATATTGCCCTGTAAACAAACAGTATTAATTGTGGGTGACAACACAATTGAGGTGTGGATCACTGACCCTCGCTTTCTATCCCTGTGGAAAATGTGTCAAGAATAATGTGTTATGTGGCATCTCACACCAAACACTCTACGGCCTTCATAGCTACTGAAATGTGGGTAGCTCACTGCTAATTTTTATTCTAACTATATAAGGTGATCCAGCTGTAAAATACAAAGATTGCTGCCTATATATATATATATATATATATAATGCAAAAATATTCCTTTCCAGGGCCATTTTGGAAACATCTTTTGTTATCTGTTACATGTTTATACCAACATTTTGTCTTAATGAGTAATTCTACCACTGTCATCAGTTAATACCATGAAAAGCACAGGCAATAATGCATCTAGACGAGACAGGCTCTATTAATTGCCTGAAGGAAAGGCACCATTTAACCTTTAAAACTGTGCTTGCTTTCATATAGCTTTTCAGAACCATTTGTAGCTTATACTCTGCTAAGCCTTAGAATGCTAACATCGTTGGCATGGACTGGTGGCTGGAAGCAGGAACTTCTGAGTTCTGATCCCAGTTTTGCCACTGATGTTGTGCGGCCTTAGGTTAAGTTGCCCCAGTGTATCTTAACTTTTCGCCCCATCCCCAATATGGTGACAATGACAACCTCGCAGGGGTGTTGTGAGGATTAGCTATTTGTAAGGTGCTTGGTAGCTACATATAAGTTCTAAATATTAAGGGTGTGGTTTTTTTTTAAATATATGTTCACAGCATTCAGAGGGTTTTTCCTTAAAATTTAAGTTTGAAAAATGAAATTCTGACAAAGATACAAAAAATAGCTAATGGTATATAGAAGTATATGGGGGTGTGGCTTGTGGTTAAAAATAAGACTGAAAGCCCAGGTACAGAAGTTCTAGTCCTGACTTATTTGCCACTGGCTTATAGTGTGACCTGGGGCAAGTAACACATGGCTGGATTTTCTAAACATGCTGTGTGGTTTGTGCAGAGGTAAGGGGGCGGGGAATGTTTTCCTAGAACATTTGTATTTGTATATAGAAACATGGGTTCACACATGTATATTGTGCACAAGAGGCCTTCCAGATTTTGAAATTGTAGCCCTTTTTGTGCCTTATTTACTTTTGTGTGTAAAATGGAGTTACTAATACTTATGTACCCCCATAGGATCTGGTGAGGTTAGATGTTAGGCCTGATCTAAACGCACAGTTGTGCCAATACAATTGTAGGTTATACCGGCTTAGTTAAACTGTGTGTAGACAAGCTCGAAGTAAAACATTTTTGAGATACTTAGATACTGGGTTTTTTTATCCACAATTTGCAACACCATGGCAGTGGGGTGGGTATACATTATTTTTGAAGTGCAGAGTGTTTTTTAAACAGTGGGGTTTGAAATTTTCCCCAAACCCATAAAACATTTCCAACCCAGTGTGTTAAGTTGTAACAATAAGGAGTTAGCATAGTATCAGCAAAGTGGTGGACTATGCTTTATTTTAATGGGTTTGTAATAGAAAATTGAAACCAAACATTTGTCCTGTTACTCAAGACCTTAAAAATAGCTACTGTGGTTGTTTCTTTGATGCAGAAGGCTGAGCAGATAGAAAAGTCCAAAATGGTTTGTTTATGCAGTAACCACTTATTGTGTGTATAGGAAAGATTCTGAGGCATAATAAATACTACATATTGTACATGTAGCTTCTCTTGTGCTACTAGCAACTGGAGCTTTTCAAGATGGTTACAATGTGATTTAATGTAGTTGGGACCCATGTGTACTTAAGGCTGATACTGGTAACAATAATTTGTCCTTTGAATGAACTAATCTTAAATACCTCAATGTAGGGTTGTGTGTATTTTGTTTCTGAATTGCTGCCAGACTCATCTGATGATTAACAACATTAAGATCAAAGTAAGTAAGATAATGAAGTACTGGAGTAATTAAATTCTCAGTTTTGAGATCTTGACTTCCCCCACCCCTAGCCCTTTTTAGATGTTCTTGCAGCATTAGAGTAGCTGTCTGGTTTTTCCTGTTTCTTGTCTCAAATACTGTTTGCTTTGGTGAGGATTTTGTTTTCCCTCTGATGTTGGATCTTGGCTTCTTCAATTAAAAGGAAAAAGCAGAGGAGAGAGATTCATGTTTGAATCATTACCTAGTGCCTCAGAACATGTGCCATACACTTCAGACATTTTTGAAATGAGAAGTATCTTAAGGGAGATGATTGAACATACGGGGTACTTGGCAGCAAAATTAACCCCCCTATACCACCCACCCCCAAAAGTGGCTTTTGCTGTGTCTTGATATCAAAATAGTTTTTAGGATAGAGCTGTATAGGTTACATAGAAACATAAGTTTCTAACTTTAAGCACCTAAAATAATTCTGCTTGTTTGTTTCAGACATCTTTGAACTTAATTTTCATGGAATGTCAAATGTATATGTCCAGCTTGATTAACCCAGTAAATCATCCTGTTACTAAGCATGTACGGAGTACAGTCTCTCTTTCTTGCTCTGGTGGTAGCAATCTGTTATGCTTGTCTGGATTGTTTGTGGTCTGTACCTCTGTGAATAAAATATTCAGTTTACTTCTCACCTATGTGTCTCTCAACAAGTAGACTGAAACTAAAGACTGTCTAGGCTGCAATATTAAGACCACAAGGACAGGTATTCCTGGATTTTTACAAAGCTAATGATAAATCAGAGTTTCTCAGTGGGCATCTGATTACAGCTTGTTTCAGATCTGCATAAGATCCTAAGACTAGCAGCCACCAAGGGTTTGTCAACAGTAGAATGTTTAATTTGAGTTAGTTAATTGTGAAATAACTTGAGTTAGCTAACATGTTTGTGTATGCTAGTCTGGTCACTCCACATATGCTTGATCCTGGACACACATGTTCTAAACAAAATATGTGTTCATTAATTTAATTGCTTGCCAGATAACTCAACTCTAGGTAAAAATTCTAGTGTAGGCAAACCCTTAAATGTGTATATTCTGCTCCCAGTTACATGGTTGTAAATCTGAAATAACTTTATTGACTTTGTCCTGATCCTGCAAACACATGCATAATTAACTTCACAACTGTTCTTAGTGCCATTGAAATCGGAGGTCTTACACTGTTGTAACCGAGAGCAGCATTGCTCTCTCTATTTTAATTTGAGAATCTAGCATGTACCTGTCAATGTAATTTTTAAAAATGTATGAATATTTAATTTAAAAAATCCAACTATTTAGTTCTTCAGAGCTAGTTTAATCAAAATAGCAAGGTTGGTAAAAGTCTGTAAGCATATGTTAAGATTTGCTATAGAGTTCTGTGCTTAGAAACCACAGTGATGGGAATCTTTGCATGTTTGTTGTTTGTAAAAGTCGTAGGGTAGAATAGGAGCCTGAAAAGGATACACTTTGTAGTCTCAAAAAGAAAAGGAGGACTTGTGGCACCTTAGAGACTAACAAATTTATTTGAGCATAAGCTTTTGTGAGCTACAGCTCACTTCATCGGATGCATTCAGTGAGCTGTAGCTCACGGAAGCTTATGCTCAAATAAATTGGTTAGTCTCCAAGGTGCCACAAGTACTCCTTTTCTTTTTTGCGAATACAGACTAACACGGCAGCTACTCTGAAACCTGTCACTTTGTAGTCTGTATCACCTAACCCAGTACCAGTCATTCATAACCTGTCTAGGCATCTCTTTAGGAGTAGAACTACCAATCATTCCATGTTGTGTAGTACACTTCAAAGCAGGCTCCAATAGGTGCTCACTCTGAGGCTGCTCTGAACATCTTTCATAGATTCTAAGGCCAGAAGGATGATTGTGATCATCTCGTCTGACCTCCTGTATAAGACAGGCTGTCGCACTTCCCTGAATTAATTCCTGCAGAACTAGAACAGATCTTTCCCTCAACTCTGCCTAGCAATCTCTGGAAGACACAGACCTGGTTACCTAGGGAATTCCTATTCGAACCTCTCTGTGGTACCATATTATGCAGTATACTCTAGAAGATATCCCTTTCGGCCTTCCAGTTGCAGAGCACTGCATTTTCAGATCATGTTAGGTGGGACAAGGGCTGCTGACTGGCAGGTGGTGTAGCAGGAAAAATTTTCAGCTCCTGGGCAGCTCCTCTGTCCCTCACTTCTGCTCTTTGGGGGGGAGTGAGAGTAGCAGAGAGTTTGGGCGTCTGGGCTCCAGAAGGACAGTGGCGTGGGTGCAGCAGCAGATGCTGTGCTGTCAGCCCTCAGGTAGTATTGGGTGAGTGGGTGTGTATAAGAAGGCTAAATAGAAGCCGAGGAAAGGACACCCCTTCGTAGAATCTAATCCCCAAATGTCTGAAACATGTGACACACATTTTATTGCACACTGTACCGTTAGTAACAAATGACGGTTTAAGAATAAAATGTGTTTATCAGGATGCTTTCCCCCTGTATCATAGAAAGCAGTTTGCAGTCTGTTACAGGCCCTCTTTCCTGCTCCTACTGCCAATTAACTTGTTATAAATTGCAACATTATTATTTTGTATTCAGAGTGAGTACATCTTTAGACACATTTTGTACTTAAAAAATTATTGGTATGGCGTGATCATGCCGGAAAATATGAGTGTCAACATTGGAAGGTTGAGAGGTAGGCTTATATTACGAAGCCAGTGTTAGAGCCAGGTGGTTTGATGCACAGTTTTAAGAAACTGAATTTTAATGAGGGACCAAACTGCAATCACCACTTCCACCTACTAATATGTTTTTAGTTTCCTTTATACATTTGGCAGCAATCTGTTCATAGTAAATTTCACACTTTCCCCGGTATAGTAGGCTTTTCTCCTTATATGAATCTGTCACACAGCAACAAAGGAGACAGAATAATTTTTAAAAGAAGAAAAATATAGTTATAAGAATCACAAAAATTGGTAGGGATAACGGAGTAGCTATGACTATTACAGTAAATAACTGAAAAAATGAAGAAATCAAAGAAAACTTTATGAAGTCAAATGCCTGCTGTGTAGTGTGGTACCGAGTCTGTTGCACTGTAGCCTTCTATGCCATTTTGGTGGCATAAAGGGAATGGAAATCCTGTGTAAGGGGCCTCCAGTGCTTCCATAAAGCAGCTGGAATAGCCCAGTATATGGGGTAGGGAGTGGAAAGGCCAGGGCCAGAGAGGATGGGTAGCCACAGTTCACTGTGCTCCAGCTATTCTCTGCTTCCCATGGCTAGCAGAGCATGAGTTAGAGCTGCTCCAGCGGATGCTGGAGGCTGCATAAGCCCCTCAACTATCCCAGAATAGGGAGAGAACAAAGGTGGCTGGAACTATCCTCTTCTGTCTTCCTCCCCACTCTCTACTGTCCCCTTTTGCATTTCCTGCATCCAGCCCAGGGATGGACTGACTGTGAATCAGAGCCTGAATGGATCACTGCCTAAGACCATAAAAAGGCTCCTAGTCCAAACTAAAAAGCTTGCTGTTCTGTAAATAAAACAAAGGAACACACTAAGTCAGACATGCCATGTTCATGTAAGTACTTTGGCATGATGTAGAAACTTTAAAAAGAAAAAGCAATGGAACCCTCTGGGCAGGGCTGGCTCTAGGCACCAGCAAAGCAAGCACGTGATTAGGGCGGCACATTTCAAGGGGCAGCATTCCTAGAGCCGGCCCTGCCTCTGGGTTGGCTTCTGCTCATTCCCTGGGGGTATATTTGTCTCTTAACCCCAAAGAGGATTTGGGGTCTGATGTAGTACATAAGATTTGAACTCTTGATTAAAACTGAATCAACTTCAAGTTGATAATCTCTTTGTCAACATAAAAAATTAAGTCAATTTCAATCAAATCTCTTTAAGATAAAACTCCCCTTCTTCAGAAATATGTATTGTGGTGGTCATTTCTGTTATTCATGAAGCTAACAAAGAGGGGAGAGTCAGTGTAATACTGACAGTGAGGGAAATATAATTTTTTAAGGGATAGGGTGACCAGATGTCCCGATTTTATAGGGCCAATCCAGATTTTTGGGTCTTTTTCTTATATTATCTCCTATTACTCCCCCCTCCCCCCCAACCGCGTCCTGATTTTTCACATTTGCTGTCTGGTCACCCTAGTAATGGGTCATCTATGACAAAAACAAAGTTGAGAAATAATTGTTGCTCGATGTATTGGTTCTTTTTTCATTTAATAACACTAGTTCTCATTATCCTTGTGCAATAAGAAGAGAATTGCATGAGTCTGAGGGGATCACACTAATTTGTTTCAATTACCAGTGCAAAATAGGGTGCATGTGATTCTGTATTTCACCATCTTGTGAAATACCTGACAAACAAAAATTGTGGTCAAAATGTATTATAATCCGGCTTTGATTTGTGCAAGTTGTCTATGAAATACAGTATGTTGCAACTCAGTGTTACATTGGCTTAATGTCATCCCTCCTATTGAAACTGTTAGTGAATTTGTTCTGATAGCTCAACTCATAGATTTTAAGGCCAGGAGGGACCATCATGATAATCCAGTCTGACCTACTGTGCATCTGAGGACACAGAGCCTCTCCCACCCACTTTGGCAATAGGTCAGTAACCTCTGGCTGAGTTGCTGGAGTTCTCCAGGCTAGATTTAAAGACTTCCAGTTGCAGAGACTCCCCATGCTATATAGGAAGGTGGAAACTGCCCCCCCAGGGTCTCTGCCATTTTGACCTGCAGGAAAATTCCTTCCTCACCCCAAATATGGTGATTAGTGAGCATGTGGGCAAGACCTACCAGCCAGACATCTGGGAAAGAATTCTCTGTAGTAACTCAGGGCCCTCCCCATCTAGTGTCCCATTTCTGGCCATTGGAGATATTTGCTAATAGCAGATGCAGATGGGCCATATAGCATTGTAGGGAAACTCCTCATACCACCCCTTCCATAAACGTATCAAGCTCAGTCTTGAAACCAGTTAAGTTTTTTTACCCCCACTACTCCCGTTAAAAGGCCTTTGCAGAACTTAACTTCTCTGATGGTTAGAAACCTTCATCTGATTTCAAGCCTAAATTTGTTAAAGGCCAGTTTATATCCATTTGTTCTTGTGCCAACATTTGCCCTTAACTTACATAACTCCTCTCCCTGCCTGGTGTTTATCCTTCTGATGTATTTATAGAGAGCAGTCATGTCTCCTCTCAGCCTTCTTTTAGTTAGGCAAAACAAATCAGGCTCCTTAAGTCTCCTCTCATAACGCAGGTTCTCCACTCCTCTGATCACTCTGGTAGCCCTTCTCTGCATCTGTTCCAGTTTGAATTAATCTTTCTTCAACCTGGGAGACCAGAACTGCACCTGCGCTTCTACTGAGGTTCCTCTGGCCAGTGTAGGCAGGGATGAACTATGCTATTGACTCAGAAAGTGGGGCTTTCTAGACAGACTAAAGCTTCTTAAAGGGCCCCTTCAGAGAGAGTAAAGAACAAATGGGCCAGATTCATTCCTGATGTGAATGAACTTGGCACTGTGATGCTATCCCTTCCTCGTTTATTTTGAATGAAATTCACTCCTCCCTATGCACAGCCTGTGTAACTGAGCTTTATGTCTGGAATTACATAACGAGATGAGTAGACAGGGGTGCCCACTCCGAGAAGGGGCTACAATACATTGTTACTG